CGGGGTAAAAAGGGACGGGATGAAACTCGGACAGAATGAATTGCAGGCCGATGCCGAAGCGGGGAGATTATCCCAGGATTAGACTCTGGATGATTCGACGCATTCCATCTTTTGGAGAACTTTCCAACCCCACCTTGCTTGAATGCCTGTGAGCCTTAGGCACTCAGGCACATGAAGTGGGGCGCCATGAGGCCGTCGGGCATCCTGGCCCGATCCGGCAATCAATAGTCCGCAGACCAGTACTAGACTAGTTTGGAACTGGGGTGGCTGGGCACTTGGGCCAATTCATTACAGATTACACACACACAAATACGGCATAGCACAATTGCGTGCATAATATGTTCAGACACAATTGTTAATCTTCTTTATACAAAGGTATATGCAGATGACTTGTTTAGAGTCAAAACTGCAGACCGATGCTGCAATGCCAACAAACCCGGATATAAACTTCAGGACGAAAGTAAGTTGAGTGTTGTTTGTGTCGGAGGGAGATGGAAGATCGCAGTGACTGCAAGTGTCGTCATCAGGTGTGCCAAGGAAGAGCTGCCTTTTTGAGCCAAAAGAAACCATCCACCGCCGAAGATCCGGCTGATTTTGGGAGAAAGATTGGCTGATTATCCCCAAATTAGAACGCCCTAATGTCGCACCCAACCGCATCGGATGGAGCTTTGCGCCCAAACTATTGAAAAGCGTGTGAAGAGTTTTTGCAGGTAGAGAAAAAGCTTATGAATTGGAACGAGCTCTCTCAAATTTCCCAAGAGGCTCTAGTCACCGTCTCCGGAGGCCCTTGCGAGATCGGGTTCCGTATCGAGATCGTACCTAGTGGGAACCATTAAGCCGGATGAGAACGTGGCGCGAGTAATGGGAAAAAAATGATTCCACCATCCATACAGAGTATCATATCATACGTAATCTAGCAATGGCGTGTTACACTTGAACAGCCCATCAGACTTGATTGTAGGACGTAGTAATGGTTTAGTTTCTTCTTCCCCGCCTTTTTCCCTTCATCCACACCGAGGAATGAACCAAAGGATGGAATGGCAGCCAGCCCCAAGCTTTACGCCGGCCCTTGTGATTGTCCACCACCGGAGACGCGCCGGGAGGCGATCGACCTTCCAGATACGGTAATCTCTAAGCGCCTGTGGTTTGCCTCCGTGTTGATGATTGGCTCACTGCCGAGTGGAGCGGTATCGGGACCGTAAATACAGCAAGCAGGGCGGCGATACCGAGTCAGACGTACAGTGGAAATGATACTCTGTTACTGTTACTGACTGCCTGTTGCGACCTGAATCCACTTGCCGTACCAACTCCGGCCTTGCCTGCAGTCGTGCTGTGCTCTTCTTGTTCTTGTTCTTGTCTCTGCTGCTACTCTCTGGTCGTCCTTGACCTCTTCTTAATTATCCCCATTTGTTCTTCCCCCCGGTCGCTGACCAGTTTTTTTTCTATCTATAATTCTTTTTAAACTAATTTAATTAGCTTACACTAATCTTCCCACTAAATCCCATCATCTGCCTTGACGAAAGAGGGGTTAAGTCCACTGATTACCCGCTAAGACGTCTCTCTCCCTTCCTTTATCTCCCTCAACCCGGCTCTCGCCTCCAGTTAATCGTCATCCTTCCGGTCTATCCTTCCCTACTTATCGTCGCCTCTCCTTCATACCCCTCTTTCAGCGGCTTTCGCTCTCTATCGAATTGCATCTCGCTCCTTTCTGCGACTCAATGCTTCGTTCTCCGACTGGCTGATTCCTCTCCAGTCTGCGCGCTGGCGGGGACGTCACGTTACTGCTTCCCCCCCTGCTTTAATCCTTCCATGCATACATCCTCAACCAGCCCTTGTCTCTGCCAGGATTTGCAGATGCGAAGTGTCGCCGGTCCGTTATATACGTGGTTGTGATACGCGCCGTCTTCTGCTGTGATACCCTGTTCTGCTGCATTTGCCGTGTCGATATCTCACGATCATCATGGCCGAGTATGTATATTCACGTCCCTCCAATGCAGTTGGCCGATGCTGTGTTTGTTTGCTAATTTCGGTGACAGTTTTATTGCTTTCCACACTTATTACTCTCGCCACAATTTCCTATCCCCGTCTACCATGCTGCCACGTCCCACCAGCCACAAACGGTCGAATTCCTCCGAGAACAACTCTCTCTCCCCCGACAAGACCGTCACGAAAGCCAGGTCCACCAATGACCTGTCTGGAACCGTCACTGCGAAGCCGACACCGGGCGTCCGCTCGTCCAGTGTTGGCAACTTCCAGGAAACTAGCTTTAGCACCTTAAAGGATCCCAGACTTGCGAGCCACTCGGAAGACTCGGAGACGTCAGAGTCAACACAGTCGCATCATCCAGACTTGAGCAATGAGGTCGCAGCTCTGAGCGTCAAGTTGGTCCAGGCGATCAACAATCAGACGACACTCGATGACAACCTAGTCGCCACTCGTCAGGAATTGGAGCAGGCACAAGCCAAGATCCGAGCCCTGGAGTCGGAAAATGAAAAGTATCGGCAAGACATTGATCAGGAAGTTTTGATCAAGAAGTCCGACGTGGATTATGAGATGTTGCGCTTGCAAGCTGCATTGGCTGAAGAGAAGGCTCAGCGCGCCCTTGTGGAAAAGGAGAAGAAGGGCATTGAACAAGAACTAGAAACCTTAACTGCCGCGCTTTTTGAAGAAGCCAACAAGGTAAGCTCCATATGCGATTGTATGTCGGGTCGACCCACTGACTTGTTACCTCTTGAACAGATGGTCGCCGCGGCCAAGCTAGAACGTGAGGCTGTAGAGAAGAAAAACGAGCAGCTACGCTCTCAAGTCAAAGACACCGAAGCACTGCTTGCATCACATCAAGAACAATTGGCCGAGCTAAAATCTGTTTTGCATGGACTCAACCTCGCCAAGGATGATAGCGAGACTCGCACAATCATCTCGACAGCTCCGTCATCACCAACTATGCCGCGGCATCCTTTGCATGTCAGCAAGAATTCTGAGATTCCCGACATACCAGAGGAAATCCCCACATTGGAAGAGCTCACTCCAGGGCCGTCCACTAGTTTCCCACATTTGATTAAGCCGGTCTGTCGAACGGATATCCAAGCTTATGAGGACTTTCGGGAACTCTTCACGACATCTCGAGCTTCCAAGCCTGCAAGTCGGGCCACAAGTGGGTCTTACGCTGGCTTGAATGTCATGAGTTTGGCTAGTGGGTTCGGTTCAGCGTCGTCATCTCCCGCCAAATCTCAAACACATTCTCCCAATGGCAGCGTGTCTTCCCCACAGCCCGTGACTTCCCACATTCCTCTCAAGGAGACCCGCTTCTACAAGCGCGTGCTTTCGGAAGACATCGAACCGACCCTCCGGCTTGATGCTGCGCCCGGGATCTCATGGCTAACGCGGCGCTCAGTATTAAGTGGGATCTGCGATGGAACTCTCCTGGTTGAACCCATGCCGCCTTCAGCAAAGAAATATGAGTTTCCTTGTTCAATGTGTGGCGAGCGCAGAAACGGTCCCACCAACGAGAGGACCCATCGATTCCGGACGTCCGATAGCGAGACCGCTCAACGATATCCTCTGTGTATACTGTGTTTAGAGAGAGTCCGTTCCAGCTGCGAGTTCACTGGATACCTCCGTCTCATCCTTGACGGCCATGTTCGCATTGGTGATGCGGAAGAGGAGAAGGATGCATGGGATGAAACTATCCGACTAAGGGAGAGAATGTTCTGGTCACGCATCGGGGGTGGAATTATCCCTTTGTTTGCTCACGCCAATGGCTTCCAAGGAAATACCCCTACACCTACTGATGGCGTTGAGGCTCCTGTTGCAGATGGTCGTGATGAGTGCCAGCGGTCAATCATCTCTACTGTCCCTGAGGATGTCGCTATAGAAACAAAGAACCTAGACGACATTGAAGAGCACAACCATGACGAGGGTTCTGTGGGAGACGATCCGTTTGTGTCTGCTCCCTCCGAGTCAGAATCTACAGCCAGCAGCGCGGCGGTCTCTCCCACGGATGCCAACGCACCCGTATTGAAGACAGACCTCGTTGATGATATGAACGAGCAACCTGATGTGCAGGTAATCGTCCCTGGAAATACGCATGAAGCCGATAGCGTCAAGCTCTCAACTGAAGTTGAGGAGACGCCGAGCAACCACGACACCACAAAGAATGGTGATAACTGATATGATCAATGCCGATTTGACCCACGATTCTTATCGTTTCGACAACGCGGACGTTCCTCCGTTGTCTTACACTCTACTTGGGTTTTGATTTCGTGTTCCCGACTAGCATTTGCGCGGACCCACCCTTTTTCAAACTTCATCTATTCTCATATACCGGTATAGTTCAACCATGCCTGCTTGCTTAATTCCTCACCGATCCTGTCCTTTGCATCCGAGACATATTATCAGTCAAGAGCAGCATGGGATATGTATTATTAATACCTTGTTTTTTCTTGTTTCTCCTTTGTATACATATTTTTCTTTCTATTGGGTTTGTCTTCATTTCTTGTGTATTTGGTTTTCTCCCAAGCTTCTTTACCCTTTCGCGTTTGTACCTCCTGCACCAGTTGTTTGCTCAACGCTATCGGGATGCGAAGGTCCTCGATGCGCGAAGGTACTCCTGGATGAACTATGACCTCGCATTTCAATGATTTCTGCGTTTCTTTGTCACATGGAATAGTGTCCACCCGGCACTTTCAAGTTTTTGCAGCATACATTTCTTTCTGTTGCTATTCCCCCGGTGCATCTAATTGCGATTGATTCTTTTTACGCGATATACATGGTGGCAGAGATATCAGGGCTTATGGAGCGGATGATGCAGGAATGCAAGCTAGTGGCTTTGCACCTAGCAAATTTGCAGATTTAGGTAGAGCAAAAATTCATGATGTTCTCGAGATATCTTCGGTATCGTACCTTAAGCGTAGACGTTATAATCACTACGCGTGGATTAGGCTTATGAGCAACTACTACACCATGCGTATAAGTTTCTCCTTACAGACATAAGACCCAGATCAAACATGAAATGTTATCAAGATTTTACAACTGAAGTGTAGACGACACACGTCTCGCCTCAAAGAAGACCTATCAACCACGTATACATACTCCTTCATCGACTGCAAATAAACGCCTGAGTAGACAATATAACGATAGATCCTAATTCCCAGTATGCCAGGTAAAAGTGTAAATATGAAGAGAGAAAAAAAAAAAAGGAAAGGGCCCAAATAGACACATCATGAAAGAGTCACGAAACAAAGAAAAAAAAATGAAACAGAAAATACACGATTAATCTATTTCCTCGTCATAGCTTGCCGTTCATGAATGCGCCTAATCTGCTCTTCAATATTCATACTCTGAGGATTCGGAGGCGCGCCAGCAGGTCCGACAACAGGCGGCGGCACAGGTCCCGAACCAGGCACGGCACCTTCGACAGCCATCTTCTTGCGCCGGGCCTCTTCCTCCGGATCGACAGCCCCAGAGCCAGGCATGGCAGCGGAATCGAATACGTCGCTTCGTTGACTGGCCAGACGTTTGAGGTTGTTGACCACGTCCACGGTGAAGAGGTTGGTGGTCGCGCTGCGGGATTCGGCCTTGGCGCGTTGTTCCTTCCAGCGGGGATCGAGCAGCTCGATGCGCATGTGTTGTTCCAGTTCGCCGACGGGGATCTGCTGGTGGCAGTTCGGGCAGAGCGCTGTGGCGCCTGTGGGGTTTTGGCGGCGCGCTTGGGCTCGCGGGACGTAGTCGGAGCGGATGCGCATCGGTTGTTGTTGTTGTTGGGGTTGTTGAGCGGCGGCGGCTTTGGCGGCGGCCGCTTGTTCGCGTGCTTCCATACGTTCCCGGATGTATTGCTCTTCTTCTTGGGCGGCGGTGGACATGGGTGGGGGGACGATGGGTTGTTGAGGGGGCAGGCCTTGAGGGGGGTAGGCGGGGCCGGCGGGGATGATGGGTTCGGGTTGTTGTTGGGGATAGGCGTTGTAGTAGATGGGTGTTTCCTCTTCGGTGGGCATGGCTTCTTCGATGCGGAGAGGATTGAGAGACATCATGGCTTTTTGTTCGAGGGAGGCGGATTGAAGGTCGTTGAGGGAGGTTGGGGGAGGGAGGTCGACTTGGTCGTCTGCTTCGGTGAAGAGGACGGTTTCGACGACGACGAAATCATGCCAGTCGATTTGGGCGTATGCGATACGCTCTTGCTCTTCCTCCTCCTCCTTCTTTTGTTTCTGCTGTTCTTGGTATTTGACCCATTCGGCGCGTTGCTTGGCGCGGTCGAGGACGTGGAATTTGTTCTGGACATTGTGCTCGAGGTCGGCGAGACGCTTCTTCTCTGTTGTGGCGGCATCGATTCCTTCGGAGCGGAGGAGGATGGTGTATTGGTCGACGAGTCGGGTGAAGAACTGGTAGAGACTGTGTTGCGGGCGCAGGAAGTCGAACTGGAAGTTTCTGGTTTCTCGTTGGGAGAGCGCGGTCATGAATGACTTTCCACGCTTGGCGACGAATAGGGCCGTGAGCTTCACGACTTCCAGATCTTGCGCATTGATTATGGGCATCCGTGCAGAAAAGTGAAACTCCGGCGGTTCTTCGGGGCCCTTAGGTTTCTCGGGTTCAGCGGCGGGGGTTGCTTCGCCTGGTCGGCCTGCGGCCACTGCTGTTCCTCGTCCTTCCTTGATCTCGACAAGACGCCATTGGTAGAAGGGAGCGTAGGCGTCACCGGGGTTGAGGAAGGAGAATTTGGGGTTGTTCCGTTCCTTTTCACGAACGCGATCTAAGAGTCTGCGCGTGAGCTGCGCGGTCCGAATGATAGAATAGTATGCAAGGGTGTGACGTACCTTCGAAGACGACACCATTTCGAGCGACATAGCCGGCCGTTTTCTCGACGATAGCTGTTTCAATGTTAGCTTTCAAAGCGTCACCAGGCCTCGGAGGCATCGACAAACTTACCTCGAATGTCCTTGGGTGGCAAGACCACGCCCTCAGGCGGCTTGCCCACCTCTTCCGGCAGCGGAGTACCTCCGTTACTTGCAGATGCCATGGTTCGCACTCCGATGAAAATGGAGAGACGCGGGATTGGATGAGAAAGTCCAGACTGAGGCGATTCGGCGACCTGCGATGTTCCTTTTCGGGTTGACTTCATTTCTGGGCGCGGCTATTGAATTCTAAGCGCGGGCGGACAGGCTACCCGCGCGCTTAGCTATGGGAGCTGATTATTGGCTGGATTATCCCGAGGCTAAACCGCGATGGGCCAGTCCCTGGCGTTGTCAATCAATCTACTTGAGTAACTTAAGTAACTTGACCGTTGATGAACGCTGGGGCAACATCTATACGTCATTGATTATTATTGTTTGTTGTCATGGCTCAAAGCTTGGACGTATAACATTAATTATTGGGACATTGTAGACTATATATCGCTATAATTAAACTGCCCCTACGAGGCTGATGCTGGCGGCGTGCATGGGGGCCTTGCATATTGCTGACGGGCAGAAAACCAAGAGTCTCCTCTCAAACTGCGGCCGACGATCTGGCCTTAAAGCGGCCGACGCTTTCGTCCGCCTCCCTAAATCGTCCCACACGTGCTGTGCTCGCTCTTCATCATCTTCCCTCTTACTCTCTTGCCTTCCCCGGTCCCCTTTTGTTCCGCTTCTTCTCTGTCATGGCGCTTCTTTTTTTGAAATAACTTCTTACCCTCTTTTTGATTGTCCACTTTTTTTGTTTACACCCTCCACACCCCATCTACATCTGTGCCTGTTCAGCGGGGGTGGTCCCGAAGCTCCCCTGGAGTTGGAGCATTGTGCAGTAACGGGCTCCGTCATTGTTTCGCTTGCCCGCGGTAGCTCTTGATGATCAATTGCCCTTTATTTTTCTGCTTTTAGGATCTTCTGAACCCCTCCCCCGACCAGTCTCCTGTCCACTCCTTCTTTCTTTCCTCTCTCTCTGAAATTCTCTATTCGAACCGCCTTCGACAATGGCGGCCAAATCCAAAGACACCTTGGCGGTTACGCCGCCGCCAAAATCATCCTCACGCTCTCCCAGCCGCTCTCCGGGTCCCAAGAGCCGCAAGAAGGCCGTCGCGGCCTCCTCGAGCTATGCATCAGATGGCGTTACGGACAACAATATCTTCCATCTTCCCGCTTCCGACTATAGAACTCTGGCTCTGGTAACCATTGTTGCGGCAGTGGTCCGGTTGTTCAGGATCTACCAGCCTTCTAGCGTTGTCTTCGACGAAGTCCAGTATGTGTGCATGCCTTTTCCCGCCCCCGCATATGCCGGAGATAATCTTGTTCTAATGCATGGCCGACAGCTTCGGAGGTTTTGCGACAAAGTACATTAAGGGCCGCTTCTTCATGGATGTTCATCCTCCTCTTGCCAAGTTGCTCATCACACTTGCTGGCTGGCTGGCGGGCTTTGATGGCGAGTTCGATTTCAAGGACATTGGAAAGGATTACCTCGAACCGGGCGTACCATATGTTGCCATGCGCATGCTTCCGGCGATTTTGGGTGTTCTCACGATCCCATTGATGTTCCTGACATTGAGGGCATCGGGATGCCGCACTATCACCGCGGTGCTAGGTGCCGGTGTCGTCATCTTTGGTAGGTCTCCATGCCTGTCCGACTGGTCAATTGCACATGCTGATTTAGCGCAGAGAACGGTCTCATTACTCAGTCTCGCCTCATTCTCTTGGATTCCCCATTGGTGTTCTTCACTGCGCTCACCGCATTGTCTTTCACGTGCTTTACCAACCAACAGGAACTGGGACCTTCTCATTCCTTCCGTGGACCCTGGTGGTTTTGGCTCGCAGCAACTGGCCTCTCTCTGGGCGCTACCCTCAGTGTCAAATGGGTTGGACTCTTCACCGTTGCTTGGGTTGGGTCGCTTACCGTTCTCCAACTGTGGGTTCTGCTTGGTGATCCGAAGAATGTCACACCGGTACGTGCATCCAATCATCGATCTATATCTACTTGAGCCAGCGGCTAATCTTCGTATTCTACAGCGCCTGTGGTTCAAGCACTTCTTTGCTCGTGTCTTCTGCCTGATTGTTATTCCCCTCAGCTTCTACTGCGCCATGTTTGGAATTCACTTCCTGTGCCTTGTTAACCCTGGCGATGGAGATGGATTCATGTCGTCCGAATTCCAAGCAACCCTAAACTCCAAGGGAATGCAGGACGTTCCCGCCGATGTTGCATTTGGATCCCGCGTCAGCATCCGTCACCTCAACACCCAAGGAGGCTATCTTCATTCTCACAACCACATGTACCCCACAGGAAGCAAGCAGCAACAGATCACGCTCTACCCCCACAAGGATGAGAACAACATCTTCGTCCTCGAGAACCAGACTCAGCCTCTTGGCCCCTATGGAACAGTGGAAGGCCCCTTGGCCTGGGACAACATTACCGCGGAGTATATCGAAGATGGCGCTGTGATCAGGTTGGATCACCTTATTACTCGGAGACGTATTCACTCGCATGATGAACGGCCTCCTGTCACAGATGTGGATTGGCAATTCGAGGTGTCTGCATATGGCTACGATGGATTTCCCGGAGATGCAAATGATCTCTTCCGCGTTGAAATTGTGAAGTCCCTCTCTGAGGGCGAGGAGGCGAAGAAGCGACTGCGCACCATTCAGACCAAGTTCCGCCTGGTGCACGTTATGACCAACTGTGTCCTGTTTTCCCACAAAGTCAAGCTTCCCGAGTGGGGTTTCGACCAGCAAGAGGTGACCTGCGCCAGAGGAGCTACTTTGCCCAACAGCATCTGGTACATTGAATCGAACAGCCACCCTATGATAGCCGAGGATGGTGAGAAGGTTAACTACAGGAACCCCGGTTTCTTCGGCAAGTTCTGGGAGCTGCAGAAGGTGATGTGGATTACCAATGCTGGCCTGACTGAATCGCACGCTTGGGACTCTCGCCCGCCTTCCTGGCCGACCCTCCTCCGTGGCATCAACTTCTGGGGCAAGGATCACCGCCAAGTCTACCTCCTGGGCAACCCCTTCATCTGGTGGTCTTCAACGGCGGCCATTGTTATCTACATTATCTTCAAGGGAGTTTCTGTTCTTCGTTGGCAGCGGAGCTGTGGTGATTACCACAACGTGAACTTCAAGCGGTTCGACTACGAAATTGGTACTAGCGTACTTGGCTGGGCTTTCCACTACTTCCCCTTCTACCTCATGGCGCGCCAGCTTTTCTTGCACCATTATTTCCCTGCCCTCTACTTCGCTATCATTGCCCTTTGCCAGGAATTCGACTTCCTTGCCAACCGCATCAAGAGCCTTGGGCTACCATCTCGCCCTGTTATCGGCAAAATGTTGGCCGGTATCTTCCTTGCGATTAGCATCTTTACTTTCACACTGTACTCGCCTCTGGTCTACGGCAACCCATGGACCCAGGATGCTTGCAACAGTGTAAAGCTAATGGACAGCTGGGACTTTGACTGCCACACATTTTATAGTAGCGTAAGTCTCCCGGGCACCGCAGCCGATACTCATGTTGTAGGCGCTAACATGATTACAGCTCGACCAATATGTGACCCAGATCGTGGACACGCACCCGGCTATCCCCACGACTCAAGCGCCAGTGCCACAAGCACCCCCCGTTGTGATGGAACAGCCACCACAACAACAGGTCCCGCAGCAAGTTCCGCAACAGAAACAGGAAGTCTTGCAGGAGGAGGCACAGGAACCGGCTGTCACGTCCCGGGCTCGGCACACTGCCAAGGCCCGTGTGGAGTACCGTGATCAACACGGAAACGTGCTGGATGAAGAACTTGTTGCTCAGTTGAAGAAGGAGGGTAAAGTCCAGTTCGAGAGCCGTCATGAGACGAAGACTCGCCTGGAGAACGGCCGTATTGTCGACATGATCGACGGTCAAATTGCCCCGCCTCATCCCGACGTTGAAGGCCAAAATCCCGAAACTGTCGGAAGACAGCCCCCTCAGGCTGTAGAGGACGGCCCAGCTTCAGTAGCCGGGCAAGGAAGCTCCCAGGAGCAGCGCGGCTCGCCTGACCCCAAACCGGCCAGCGAGGCCAACGAGGCGACCAAATCTTGAATAGACTTGAAGCATTTGTGAGGGATTGCTGTACTGGTTTTAAACGTTGGCTGTTCTCATTTACTTCTTCTGTACTTCTTTTCTAGCAATAACTGGCTTCTCTTTCCTCCCTCTTGCTCATTCAACTACTTTGGTCTAACGAAATGTGACTCTTGTACATGATTACTTACGTGTTCCTGGATTTAGCGGCCTACTTGATTGTACATGTCTTATCACGGTTTGGAACTTGGTGTAAGCGCAACGAAAACAATCTTCCAAATAAAACCTCGTCAAAACAACAAACTATGCACAGTGGTCTTGTAAGAACGGTCTCACCCCATACTCTAGTCTTCACAAGTTTTAGTGTACAGCGATCAGCGCCGACCTGCCTCAACTTCTTTCTTCCTAGAATCTCAACAACACGGGTCTTGTCTGCAATTGCAGATGGTGAACTATTTAGTAGTCCCACTCCTCCTTTCCGTACTTGTTGTAGCGCTCGTGGAGGTCCTAAAAAGAACAAGGAATCGTTTGTTAGTGATCCAGTTCGCATTGTCGACTATTGGTCGCGAATATCAACCACATGGGGATTGGGGGGGGCAATAAATACCACGGGCAGGGTAACGTTGGGAACAATGACGGTGTTCAAGGCGCTGGGGGCATTGCGCAGGGGCTGGCTCTTGTCACCGTGGGGGTGGTATTGGTACTTGTAGACCTTGCCACTCTCGTCGGTCTGCTCCCAGGGCATGGCACTCTCGCCAATGCGGACGTTGCTCTCGGAGGTGACGGAGGTGGGCTTTCTGCCGAAGTACCTGATCATCGAGAGGAAAAAAATTATGTTAGCCAATTGAGTCAATTCATAGTTGAATTTGTATAGCAGTGTCAAGGAATTTTTTTCGCGAATGAGCGTTGTATATTTGTCGTGCTGACACACTATGAAAAGAAATCGGGGGAAAGGGAAAAGTATTCACCATCCGGCAAGCAGGAAAGCACCGGACATGACACCGAGCAGAACCTGTTCAAGTATAATATCACCAATTAGATTCCAACGATCGCAATTGATTTCT